CAAGCCTTTCCAAACTGGAATTCATCAGTCTCAGATTCATATTGTTTTTGCTTCCTTCCTTTAATCTCTGTTCCATGCTGTGAGGACTGTGTTTGGTTGTTTTTATTTTCCATGGAACCTGAGCAGGCACTGGTTTTTATGAACTGTATGGAAACACTCTAGGACTGGAAAGATGGTCTGTATTTCACCTCAGTGAGGTGAAAGCTTAAGCCAGAATGCAGCATCTTCTGTATTCATGTACACACACACACTCCCCTTTAACTGATTATGATATATGAAAACCAGCAATCTGGGTGCTTATCAGTCAGGCTCTTGCAGGCAGCGTCACCTTGTCCAGGGCTTGAAAAATGCATTTGTCCTGGGAAAGTGGAAACAATGAAAAACCTTTTCCTGAACTCACACAGGAATAGTAATATCATAACTGTTATTGGCTATCAGTGATGTGCACAATTGTTCTTAGAGGCACAGAAATTGTGATTTATGTTAGTGGTCAGTTAGAAGCTTAAAAAGGTGATGGTGGAGTTCTTGTTGGTTTTTGATTTTTTTTTTTTTTTAATTAATTTGGCTTTGCCCATAGCACACTCTTCAGAGTCTGCTCTTTATTAGTCTCCAGATCAGGGGAAAGAAGTCTGCCTCCTGCTTGTCTTTGTCTTTCAGTCTTCTTCCAGCTTGGCTCTGAACCACCATGGCATCCCTTGACTCCTCTCAGTGGGTCTGCTGGAGCAAGGCCCTCTGGCTTTAGGCCCTTAAACAGTTGATCTTGTGAGATCAAGGCTGCAAAAGAGATGGCAGCCAGAAAATCAACTTGCTGAGTGCATGATAAAGTACAGTACTGCCTTTTTTTTTTTTAAACTCAGTCAAGCTATTCTTAGAGATCATCATGTAATGCTAGATGGGGTAAAATGACTGGAGAAAAAAAAAATAACACAGAACATTGTGGGATTTGCCCTGAGTGTTGTATTTCCATGATGGTAGAGAGAATTTCCAGCATAAATAATGTGTCCAAGCTGACTTTGTGCGAGTAGCAAGGGGCTGGCTGCAGAAGTAAATTCAGAGATGTTTCCACACAGATTTTCAGAGGTTGTGCTTGTGAAAATTTTACAGTAAAGGTGCTGCTAGTGAAGTCTTAATTTATTGAAAAAATAACAAGGTTTTCAGAATTCATATGGAAATGAACCCATTAAATTTTGCCTTTAGCTCTGGGATACTTGAAATCTCTACTAATTTCATATATTTACTCTGATAAAGAGATTTCCCCCTGCTTGGAACCATTTACCTGCTTGATTTTGTGCTCTTCGTGTGAGATGCTGATACATAATGTGGTGGGTATTGATGATGTAATCTATAAAAGATCAAAAATCTAAAAAGATCACCTTTGCCTAAATATGGATTTAGGCAACTTCCCTATTTAAAATTCAGTTACCTTCCAAATTTTCCGTTGTTTAAATGCTTTGGAATTCCTTTACAAATCTATCATCCACGCATAAATATTTCTTCGCTTTCATAACCAAAAGGTAGCAACTGTGCAGTATTTATTGTACCTTATTTTTCCACTTCATGATTCTCCATTTCATTCAACATAGTGGATAAGATTAGATCTCCAGGTTTTTGTTTTTTTTTTTAGATGCTGTCTTTTCTAATTGGTTCATTGTATTCAATGTGTGTCTGAGACTTAATTTAGCCTAAGGGAGTGCAGAGCAGTTCTTTTTGGGTGATTGGGTTTTTTAGGCTGTCCTACATTCTGGATCTTCAGTAGATACTCAGAGGTTTGAACAGGACTTCTTAAATCTCACATCTGCCAAACTTTGGTCAAGTTGTTGCTGCTTGCCTCAGTTTTCAACAGCAAACTGAGCAAATATGAACAAGCACTGTAGGAGGAGTCGGTCATCCCTTTGTTTTCTGAAGGCTTGAAAGGAGTTTGAGTTAATGAAAAGCTGTGTTGATGTCTTCAGCTTGTTAATGATGGAGCAGGGGGTGTAGGTGCAGAGTAACTCATCAGTAAGCAGAATTCATATCCCCTGGGCAGTGAGGTGTGGCTCTGATGTGTTGGTGAACGTGTTTGCTTTTGCTTGGCGTAGCTCTGGGCTTTCTGATGTCTTGGCTGTGGCCTGGGGATGTGGGGACCAGACTTGCTGGAGCGGCTGTGGTGGAACGAGTGTGGGCGATGGGAGCCAGGGGAAAACACAGTGGGGCCTGATAGGACTGGCTTGATTTAGCCTCTTACAAGCGGGGCAGGCTTAAAGGATGCAAATTAAAGACCAAACTTGCTTCTGGTGAAAGCAAACTCACTGATAATTCTGGAAATTCTTAAAATGTACTATTTAACACATCTGATGTTTTGGGGCATTTTTGTCTGATGTACATAACAGGAGAGGTTTGGGCCATCAAAGAATCTCTCAGCATATTCATTCATGTTTCCTGAGGATTGTGTGCTTATGCTTGGTACTAAGTCCAGACATCTACAGGAGACTGGAAAATGGGCTTCTGAAAATGTCAGAAAGGCAGCACAGACCCCTGCAAACCTGTCAGTGTCCCAGATAAGAGCACAGCGTTCTTGGGGGTGCTTAGCACATGTCTAATGCAACTGAATTTGCCTTGCCACTGGGTTGCTTCAGTTTCTGCTTGGCAGAAATATTGGTGATTTGGGGGATTTTTTTTCTCTTGCCTTTGTGTTCTTGGATGGTAAGAGAACAAGTGGGTAGAAGGAGATGGGAAGGATAATGGAATAATAAATACAGTGCTGGGTATGAGGAAGGATCAAGAGGTGCTCAGGGATATAGCCTGTCTCTTCCTCTTCCCTCTCAGTCCACTTAAAACTTTCAAGAGATAAGAGCACAGGATGTAATTTAGTCAAGGCTGGAACACAAGCAGTTCCCTCCTTTCCCTCAATAAACATTTGCTTGTTGTCTCAAACCAAGGCAAGAAATACTTGTAATTACCCACCTAGCAAATTCTTCCCCTAAAGGCAATAAAGCAGCTTTCTGACCACGTGTGTTTACTGCTCCTGAGTCATTGTATGTGCCTGGACATATGTTACCTTGCATCTGTGGCTCTGTGAACTTCTCCAGCCTGCATGTTCATCTGAGTTTGTCCTCACAGCCCATTAGTTACCACAGAATTGTCCCCACTTGTCCAGTGGTGACCTGAAGCTCACTGTGCTGATGCCACCTCGATGTGGGTGAGGCTGCCCACGATATATCCTACAACATGTCCGTGTAGGTTTGTGGAGACCACAGCCTACATTCCCTGGATTCCTGTCCAGTGCTCTCCCCAAAGAGAGCTACTTCTTTTGACATAAATTTTCTGCTTTGAAATGTCATGCTTCTGTTTAGATTTTTCTCTGCCTGTGCTGTGGAAGAGATGTTGATGCACACACCAAGTGCTTTATCAAGGGGTTGGAGCTGTAACACTACAGTCCATCTCAGAGGGGCCTGGGGCCTCTCCAGCTGGCCAGGGAGAAGATGCATGTTCCTTTGTGTACTTCTTTCTTTTTCTAAAATAGCTTTAGCCTTGTATTTCTGTGATCCAAGTGTACTAATGGAGAAATAGTGCCTTTTTTTTTTTTTTTTTTCTTCCATGAATGGCTATAAAAAGTGCCTTGTAGCAGTTAGTGCCACACAAAGAATTTGTTTTTCTGCTTCCAGAGGGCTTTGGCTTCTCTTGAAAATAGGTGGATTTTCACAGTGAATTTGGCACAGGCTGTTCCCACATCTGGCTTGGTGACCTCGCTGCTCTCCCCTCACCTGATGCATCTCTCACCTGACTGGAAATGGAGTAAAGGAGGGGGTGAGAGAGCGGTTACTAAGCAGCAAGGAGGCAGCATTATGTGTGTGTCAGGTTGAATGAATAGCTTCAGTGTTTGGAGGCACTGAGGAATTTTGGACACACAGTCCAGTGAGTCACAAAAGGTCTTTGGGAGGGAGGCAGGGGGGAGAGGGCAATGTTGGGATACAGCTGGTACTGTTTCAGAAACTTTGTTTGTGCTGAACTTTGATATTGCTTGTGACTCTCCTGGGGTCTCCCAGAAACAACAAAATATTTGGACATTGGTCTCAGTATGGGGAAAACATATTGAAGAGTGTCTTATTCTTCATAAAGCCTCCTGCTCAGCACAGTCTGGTGCAAACATCTGCAACTGAAGTGGGGATTAGCTGTGTTGGGAAGATCTCCAAGCAGAGCACTACAAGTCAGTGGAGGTTGCCCTTGAGTTTCTGGTAGAGCAGGTTGGTTATATCCCTCCTGGAAGGTAGCAGCCAAGGGAACTGACAGTGGGAAATGGGAATACAGGATCTGCATCACCACCACGCTCCCGGGCATTTTGGTTTGTGGGGGGTTTGTCAGCCAAAGCCCTGAGTGGCACAAGTGCAGAAACGAATTCTGACACCACACACACACATCTGGCAAACCTCTGCATCCCAGGACCCTGGAGAGGCTGATCTGGTGCTGCTCTGAAGTCGTGGTGCTCTGGCTCTGGGAGAATCTCAGCTATTTCCATGTTCCTCTAGGGAATACATCGGGCTGACCCTGCCCCGGCCTGTGGTCGGCATTCCCAGGACTAGAGTAGCTTTCTGTGGGCTGGATCCAGCTTGCTTAACTGTATTTACTTAACTGTGCTCCAAAACATTGCCTCTTGGCTGGTGCCAAGGACCAGTCACCCAAAATGAAGAATCTGTGGTTTGATCTGTTTAGAGGAAAGGCTTCAGGTACAACAGTTTCTGCAAAATTCAAAAGGAGCTGAGTGTCCAGGGCTCAGTGAAATAATGCCTTAATTCCTTCATTAAATTTAGACTCTAGCTTGGAAAGAACATGGAGCATCCTATTAGGCTTTGACTCTCCATCGTACAGACATTGCCTTCTTATCTAATAAATTGTGTTTCATTCTTAATTGTTATTCTTTTGTCTCAGATTTAATGTGTAAATTTCTAAAGAAATGAACAACATAGCTTTTTAGGTTGGATGCATACCTTGACTAAAATATGTTTCTTCCTCCTTTCTCCCAGGAATTCTCAGAAGTGGAGAAAAGAGATCCTCAGGAGCTAGTTGGTAAGTTCACTCAGAAGTGAATATTCACATATTCTTTTCAAACTAGACTTTCTAAACCCTGGCTTGTAAAAAGCACCTTCCCTTTGTCCTGGCAATGCTGTAGTTTCAAATTATTGCCTGCAATGTTTTATCTCACTGGAATGCTTTCAGTGAAGTCTTGTTTTGGGAGAAAGGCACCATGCCTTAAAATATGAAAATAGTTTCATGTATTATATGTTTAAAACATCTATGTAAAGGGCAGTGTTGGTGTTTTTTTGAAATGAGCTTAAACATGATAGAATAGCTTTGTCTGGACACCTCTGTGAGAGCCAGTGGAACCAGGGATGATGACATTTGTTCTGTGGCTTCAAAAACTTATCCATATTTAGATATGATCCACTTAAAGATTTATAGCTGCTGTGCTGAGAGTGTACTGCATGTGTTCTAATGGTTACTAAAACTTACTTGATTTTTGTGGCATTTCACTTATTTATTGCACCATTATTAGATTTGGAAAGTCCAGGATTGTCAGCTTGAAATTCAAAATCCTCTCTTGGTCTCTGTGGAGCTGTACAGAAACTGTATTTTATGTTTCATCTGTGACTATCTTGAACTAACCCTCTGTTCCTGAGGTTACTATTACAGTTGTGTGGTATCATGTAATAATATCATTAAAAATTAATAAGTTTGGAAGTTGCTTCATCTCTCAAATCAGCTTGTCAAGGCTCAAGCATAGTATTTCACCTATAAAGTGTGATAAATGTAAATTAAAACAGCAAATACTCACATGCTAAACTGTGGCTCCTACAGCAGCCATCACTGAAGCTTTGGAGTTAAGTTCTTTTCAGTTGGCCTGCCCAGACTTTGCACCAGCCCAAATGTTATATTGGATTTTCAGCCTTTACAGGGCAAAACTGCTTTAACCAGTCTCATCATAAAATGCAACAGAAATGTTTCCCTGATCTACTGATCTGCCTCAAAATGCACACTAGAAACATGGGTGAGGCAACAGAATTTGGGGTAAAAAGTAAATAGGAATGTCTGAAAGCCCACTGCCCTTTTAGTCTCCGCTTCACATATGGGTGAAGGTCTGCAGTTGTAAAGCAATGCAGTGGGAAGTCCTTTCTTAGTGAAGGTGTTAGGCTCAGGTTATAATTTTCTTAGTCTCTTCCCCCAGTGAGTGTCCCATCCACAGGAGATCAGAAGTCTGAATCTCAGTTTGTCTCATGATGGCCCAGATTTGCACACAGGTTTAAAATCTGCACAGAGGGCACTGATTAGTGTCACAACTCATGAGTGGACAGTGTTGGTGAGTCTGAGACCTGGATTGAGGTCTCTTTGCACTCTTTAATATCCTTTCCCAACAGCAGCACACACAGAGCAGTGGGTAGGCTGGCTTTGTGCAGAACCAGGTTATGAGAGGTCAGATACTTGCCATGCTGGATTCTGGAGGTCTGTTGCATTAGACCATATCTTATCTGGCTGAAAAGGAACTGTTGCAAGAGCCTCATGGTTGGTGTAACCTGACAACCACTCCCTTTCTGAAAACTTGGCCTTTCAGAATTAGACTTCTTTAATGAAAAAGTGCAGAATTTTCTGACACAAAGCAAGTAACTTCCCCCATCTGGAGGACATCTAAAGTTTTGTCTATCAGTATATGGAAGTCAAAATCATCTTCAGACAGTTTTCCATGATTGATTTTTTTTTTGCATTAAAAACTTGTGGGCCCACCCTCCTCAGAAGGTAACCTTGCATTTTTCAGTGTCACCTTTATTAAAGTCTATGGTTGTGCAGTTGCTTAAGTACAGAAGAAATGTAGGCTCCTGCCAAAAATCCTGTTTCTGTTTTACCTCCCCCAGATGCATTTTAAAGTCTGTGTGCTCTGAGCTGCTCTGGGAGTGGGAGCCAGCTGAGATCCATCTTCACTGCTCTTTTTTTTTTATTGTTTCTTTCTTTTTTCTTCTTTTTTTTTTCCCCCTGTGAGGCTTCCAGCTGGATCCTCTCCATGATCTGCTTAGTGCATGCTAGGTGAGCACTGGAGCTGGCACAAAGAAAACAATAGGGATGAGCAGCTGGGAAGGGCATGGTTGTCCTGCCTTATGCTGAAGTAATGATCACATAATCAATGCCTGAAAAGAATGGAAGGGAAAGTTTTAGCCTTAACTGCCCCATGTTTGAGAAGGAAGTACATGTGAAGCTTATTTTGATAGATTTCTACCTCAGCATTGTCCTTTTGGGGTTTTTGTACCGCTCTGAACAGTTCATGGTGCTGGCAGGACATTGCAATTGCTGTTTCCTGCAGCCTTGCAAAATAATACTTTTAGGATGCAGGTATTTTTGCCCTGAAGTTCTTTGCAGCATGGTTGTTTACCTTTTGGACTGTAAGAAGAGTTCTCTGCAGCCCTCAGGATGTCTGAGCACAAACTCAGTGTTCAAAAGAGTAGAAAGTATGGCTGAGTTGCAGGTCTCTTTCTGCATTTCTCAGCCCACAGAGCAGAAAGGGAACTAGTGTCCTTCCATGGATGGGTGACTCACTGGCATGTTGTTGCCTCCAGTTTTTCCCTCTGATTTGGCTGTTCTGGTGCCAGGAAATCAGAAACCCACACACCCTGGTTTATGCCAAGCAGACAGAGTGCCAGAGAATGCAGTTTTAGAGACCAGGCACCACCGGTTTGCATGTCTCCAGGGGAAACCCACGTCCCTCTGATCACCCTTTCCAGGTCTTTCCTTGGGTTTTTTTTGCCTAGTGTGGCCTTTAGAAACAAACTGGCACCTGAACTGCCTCTAATCCCTTGTGACTGCGTAAAACACAGCGTGTAAGTGAACCTTGGGAGTTCTTTATCCTACCTGGGGAGCAGTGTTACCAGACCTCAGATGATCCACACCTTGGTCTGCCCTGTACACCCATTATACTCTCTATCATTTTGGTTTTCTCTGCACCAGGAAAACATTCCTACCCATCTGTGGGAAACAAAGCTCCTGTGTGCCCTCCATCCATGTCTCCAGCACAGCCTTTGGACTGGGAGCAGTCGTTTCCTTCTGGAAGGAAGGGCATGGTTTGTGCTGTGACACTTTCTCTCCTGCTGTGCAAATTGTCTCTGTACTGTTGGACATAGGTCAGATAACCCATCTATCTCAAACTGAAGCAGATTTAATGTAGCATTTCCATTTAATTATCTTCCTCACCAAAATCTGTCACGCAATTATCCTTCGTTGACTGAGAGGCTGAATCTGTGCTAGGTACACCCTAAGTGGTGGTGTCCAGCAGCAGGATGCTTTGAGAGGCATTGGTTCCTACTTTCTTGAACCCTCATCTGAATTTTGGGATCTGCTTCATGACCTTAGTTCTTCTTCTGGGCTATAAATCTGATTCAGGGAAGATATTTACTTACTGTGAGCCAGAATCTGGGTGTGCCCGGACTGATTAATTGTGCCAACAGCCAACTTCCTGACGTCTCCACTTGGAGATCCTCTAGGCTGGGAGCCTGCAAATCACAGACCAATTAGAGGCTGCAACCAGTGTCACCTGTGACTCATGTAAATTTAAAACTTTGATCTTGGCAGGAATAACAGGATGCACAAAGCAGTTGGATGTATCCGGTGAGGACACACCTTGTTGCTGGCTGTTCATCTGCAGTTACTGCTGTATAGATGTGTTTTCAAAGTCCCAAGGGCAACTTTAGACCAACATGTTTTATACAGGAGCCTGTGGCCATATATGCAAGTTCCAGGATTATTTTGAATGATCATCCCAGTTGCCCTTTCCTCTATGGAAAGAACTGGTGGAAAGATGCTGCGTAATCAGCCATTCTGCTGTCTGTTAGGGGAGGGAGTTTGAGGGCTGCTGGAGGGCATGGATAATTTGTACTTCCTTACTGTAAATGAGCCCAAAGGCATTAAACTCATCCTTAAACTCATCCTTTTCTTCTTAGTGATGTGGCATCTCAGTCTGACTGCAGTGTGATGAAAGAATTGAGTAATGCTGAATATTTGTGCTCGGTTTGTGAGGTGCACGTATCCTCTGTGCTGACTCAGTGTTCAGCTACGTACAGCTATGGTGGGATTGCAGGAGACAAAGATGCATTAGTTCTAGTTCCTTGTAAGCTGTTAAGAGATGCTTTCCCCCATCAGTATGATGTTGATAAATGGTGGCTCAAACAAAGGAGGAAATGAGCACCAAAACCTGAAAGTCATGCATCAAAATATATTGTCTCATTGGGAGCTCTTGTTCTGCCTCCAGTATTATTTCTGTTTCAAGAGAGCTTTGAATGGGTTACTGAACATTCACTTATGACTTTAACTTTTTTTGCTGGTTAGACAGAGGTCTTGCCCAGAGTTCCTGAGTTTATGACCCCACAGTTCCCACAAATGTTTTGTTTCTCTGTGGCTCTTCTGGTCATCTGCAAAGACAAGGGAGCCTATGGGATGTCTAGTCTGGAGCTAGGTTTGATTTTTTTGAACTTTTTTTTTTTTAGGTCCTTTCTTTGCCTTAAGAAGTCTGTATTTAGTGGTTGTTTTTATTTTTTAATGTTTCTGCTGATGCTGTGAATCTCTTAAGCCATTAATCAGCTTTCACCTTTCCCAGCAAGCCTAGTGTGCCGGGTATTATGTTCCTGTCTTTGAGTTCCTGAAGCTCTAATTAAACCAGAGGCTTCCCCATCCCACCAGCATCTGTAACCTATAACAAATGTCTGCCTTGTTGTCAGGGAGCTCCCTTTGCCTGCCTTTCTGTTGGGGCTCTGGCAAGCTTTCCTTCTTCCTTAGAGGCACCCTCTTAGTAAATGCCAAAGGACACTTTTTGTTCCTTACTGGCAGCTGCTGAAGAATTTAACCCTCGGCAACATCTTGATCAAACAGAATGAGTGGTCGCCTGCCAGCTTTGCATCTCCAAAGGATGTTGTCCTTAGTGCTTCACATTTTTGACAAAAGACAGGGAAACTGTAGTAGCACTGATCATGTGTAGTGTTGCTTATCTGTAGCCCCAGCTCTCCTGGGTTCCAACACCGGTGTCTGTCCTTTGGGCCCTTCTGGCCTTTATTCAGAGTTGCTGAGCTCAGTGAGCTGGAGCTGCAGTTCAGGCAGCTTCTACTGAGCAGTGTGTAGCTGAGGAGCTGACTTGGTTGATATGACCTCTGTGCTGCTGTCAGGTCTCTTATCCACTGCAGACCAACTCTGGAATGTGTTCCCTGTACAAACTATGCTTGAAAACAGTCCCAACTGCTTAAAGGTGGCACAAATCTCTGCTCCGAGACTTGGCTAGATAACTGCCTGGGTTTCCCATAATAGTGGGAAAGTAACAAGCAATAGTGGGAAGCACAGCAGTTTCTTTTGCTGATAACTCTGTAAACTAATCTTTAGAGGGCAATCAGGTACTTTAATAGTATATCCCAACACAAACAGCTATAGAAATCTGGCAGACTGTGCTGGTCTGTTCCCAGTCCTGCAGAACAAGTTGTTCCTTCTCCCAGTAGTCTGTCTCTGTAAGCAGAGATCAAAGTGCCTGTTAAGGAAATGTTAACTTAGGGATGAAATGTAATTTCTTGTGGTTAATTCCTGACAGCCCTGGGGATGGTTGTTCCCTTCTTGAACCATTTAGGTTCATCTAGGTATGTCTTGATCTAAATAGGACCCAAAGTGATTACCTCCCCCAAAATGGCAAAGAGCCAGGCTGCATAGAGTTGATCCTGTGATCCTCCACATGCATGGTCTGATCCTCTCTCCAAGAGTGTCCTGGCACAGGCTTTGGCAGAGACTCCAGGTTACCTGCACTGTTCAGAGCAGGACCTGAAGGTGTGTATGGGAGACCTGGAGTAGTGCAGGGTTGGGTATGTGGTGCACAGTGCAGGGATTTAGGGATCCATGCCATGACCCAACCTTTATTCCTCTGAAGATTCTTTGCTTTTGAGGATCTTATCAACAGTTGCAGCTGGAGTGGAAGTAGCTTAGCTTTTACATTTCCATTTGGGGATGAAGAGACTCCTGAAAATGAAGCTTTAAGCATGGGTATGACACAGAACCACAGTTAGAGGTAGTTATCAATAAAACAAGCATCTCGTCCCTCTTATAATGATGTAACCTTTAGATTAGTTGCTTCTTGCTCAGCATCTTGAAAACACCACGATTACCAGTTGGCAGCATTCCCATTACCTTTGCCTGTTGATTCCCAATGACAGAGTGGTGCCAGCAGGGACATAAAACAATTTAATGACTTGCATGGCTGAAACTCCCTTCAGTACTGCCAGAACTCATGCCCACATTGCTCTCTCCAGCTTCTTTTTCAGAGAGAGTGCGGAACATGTCTCCAGATGAGATCAAAATCCCTCCTGAGCCTCCTGGCAGATGTTCTAACCAGTTGCAGGTTGGTATAAGTCCACTTCATTCTTTTTAAAGGCTTGTAGTTCAGTAGGGAGAGGGGATGTTTGGGACCTCTGCTCAGTATTTTTGCACAAGGCAAAACTCCAGTATTAAAGCTGGGTTTTACCACACTGAGTTTATGAATGCACTGTGTTAATGCTTTAGGCTTTACAGCAGTTCTAGTTTAGGAATACCAGAGTAGCTTAGAGCTGTTTTCCAGTCTCTGTGGGTTATTTATGCTTTAAAACAGCTCTTGGTCCCACAGAAGCAATGTTTACTGTGAAGGCTGCTTTTCTCTTACCTCAGCAAATCCAGCTCTGTAGAAAAGAACAAATCATTGTTTTCCATACAAGCCCAAGAATCCCCTAAACTGGAATAGATGAGGCAGCAATGACTGGATTCCTTTTCCACCTACATCTCTCTAGATGATAAACATTTAGAGGGAAGGCTGGTAACTTAGAGGCAACAAAACAAGACAGATGCATGTCTTCTCCAGTGCACACCCAGATAATGGCAGTGGCCAACTTTGCAGTAACCTGCTGTGTTCTCCTCCTCATGGAGTGCAAATGAAAAGAGCAGGGACTGCTCTTTCCTACCACCCATTTGAGTTTCATGTCCAGTTTTCCACCCAGTAGAAATACAAGTAAAGAATCACTTCTGGAATGCTCTATAAAATAGCTCCTAATGTGCAGTGGTGATTCAGAGTGACTCACCATCCAGATGATGCTTTCTTCTTCTCCACACAGTGTACCTGGGCACACCCATCCCTCCTCTGGTGCTGTAGGAGGATTTTACTGTTTCTGACATCAATGAACTGGGGTGCGTTAGATCTGAAGAATGCACAGAGCTTGAGAGAGTAGACAGAATAAAGCAGAATTTTCCCCCTTGCACAGCAGTTTACTGTTTAAATCAAAGGAGAACTTGTCCTCTGTTAGCAGGTCAAACCACATCTTAGAGCACTTTGAGGAAGGAGATGGGATTGTTCCTCAGAAATGCAAAATGTTCTGGGCTTTTCACTGGTGACTTGCTCTTTTGTCAAATTCTTCCTCTAATAAACTGTATCTTGAACTCTGCCAAAGGGAGTATTTCTTATTAGAAAGTTGACTGAGTAGTTCCCCATCTGTGGACTTTGTGAACCATATTGCTGCTCCATGGGGAGGGGCCAAAAGGGAACACCTATTCAATCACTTCTACTCCCCAGATTCACCTTTTTGCAGTTGTTCCTTCAAGCCTCACAATGTGTGTGCTGGATGTGGAGATTGTAAGATAAATTTTCATCAGGTTGTCACAAAATCAGCAAGAGGAAATCACACAAAGTTTTTTTTTAAGGTTGTTGAAATAGGAGTTTCATATCAGCTCTTAACAATCCTCCTTTATTCAGGCTTCAGCAAGCCCTCAGACAATAGTCAGTTCTGTGTTTGAGTTGACTGTCCAGGGAGGGAGACATGAACTGACTTATCCAGAAGCAACAAAGGCAAATTGACTCAGCTCTCCCATCCTGAAAGACTGAAGGCCCAGCCTCTGGTCTTGTTTAATATGAGAAATTTCTGTTCTAAAGAAAAGATGACAGAAATTACTGAGGATATTCTCCTGCTAGTACCACTTAACTCCATGTTCCATCTGAAAGTTCCTGCCTTTGCTGTCAGCATCACTAGAGTAGGAATACTTTTAAGTACTTTTATCCACCTTGCTGAGGAAGAAAAAAATCATGTTTGATTTGAAAGCTTTTAGTCTCTTTGGAGAGTGGACTGCTTGACATTTCCAATCTGATTTAAAGTTGCCTTTTGCAGCGGCTTGGGACTTCAGTAAGTTATCCACAGGCTTTGTAACTATGTGAGTGATCTGCAGAGAGGAGCTGATTCCATCTGGCTGGTCACTTGTACCAAAGCAGGGATTTACAAGTGCATTGTTCCCAAGAGTGTTTGGCTGCCAGTGGGCACCACCAGCAATCCCTGATGATCACACTGGGTTTAGTTCTCCAGCAGAACTTGGCTCTGCTCATCTGTTACCCAGGCAGAGCCATGAGCTTTGCCTTCTGGGCAGTGTAGCCCAGCACACCTGAGTCTGAAGGTGGGTGTGGTGGTTCCTGCAATCTGTGGGAGAACCTCAGTGGATTTCAGAACTGGCTTCTGCTCTACAGTCATGTCTATAAAGGGAAATAACACTGGGAAGGAGGAGCCTGTGCTACTGCCTTATAGGCAAATCTTTAATCACTGAAGCCTTCAGTAAGTACAAATATCAATTCCTTTACCAATCCAGACAGTTCATGTAGCTACTTCAGACCTTAAAGGAGAAAGTGTCTATTAAGCAGCCTTTGGAAGGGGTGGAACCCTTGCTCCACTCAAGGGAGGTCACTGGTTCAGTTGGCTTGTTTCCACATGTACACTTTTGTTAGTCAGCTGTTGTGCTGCTCCTTTTCTTACTGGCTCACCCTGTAATCTTTCTCCTGTAGGATAAAATTCAAAAGCTGTATGAGAGGAAAATGAAAGAGGGCATGGATATGAACTACATCATCCAGAGGAAAAAGGAGTTTCGCAACCCCAGGTGAGGCACCATCTTCTCCTGTGTGACCAAAGCACCACAGAGCAAATGCCAAGAGTATCCTCTTTGTTGGAGTTGTAGCAGAAAAAGGATCCTGAGCAAGAAGGACTACTGCTTACAAACAAATAGTGTCTCTCTCATTTTTGTGACTGAAACAGTAAAACTCTTCTTTGTGTTCTGGGAGACAACAGCAAGTGTTGGTGTGATTAGATTTTAAATGTGAACACTTTGAATGAGTGAAGTATTTTAGAAGATGTGTCTGGAGCTGGGAGATGTTTGGGGGAAGTGGTAAATACTGTGGTTAATGGGCTGCCACATCCATCATAGCAGGCATACCTTCCCTGGTTCTGATTTCACTCTTGCAGTGTGAAGAGGTGACAAATTCTCTTTCTACTGAGGCATCTGAAACGCTTCTGTTTATTTCTGCCTCTGGTTCTGTTCTGAACTCCTGTTTTTCCTTTGCAGCATCTATGAAAAGCTGATCCAGTTTTGTTCCATTGATGAACTTGGTACAAATTATCCAAAGGTGAGGTGCAGTGCTTTTGGCTGGAAAGGGAGTGGGTAAGAGATAATAGAGAGGTGTAAAGTCTTACCTGAGGCTTTAGTGAGCCTGCTTGCTTAGAGGTCCTTTAAGGGAACTTCAGTTTGAGACCCTGCATTGAAGTGAACATTTTTGTGTGGCACTGAACCTCAGTGCCTCCAACTTTGCTGTAATGGTTCTGAACAAAAACTGCTGAAGTGTGTAGGTATAAAGGAAACTCCTCAAGGGGGACTGAAGCTGAGCAGCAGAAAAATGCATGACTTATCCCAGCATACTTGTGGCTTCAAAGCTGTTCCTTCATTCACAACAGAACGTGGTCCCATAAAAGAAGGTCTGATGTGATCTTTGGGATACAAGAAGAAATCAGTCATGATTATCATCAGAGAACAGAAATGCCTTAAACATTTTTGAACTGGGTTTTGTGTCTCTGTGGAAATAGCCCTAATCTGACTTATTTTTTTCCTTTAGGACATGTTTGACCCTCATGGCTGGTCAGAGGATTCGTATTACGAGGCACTAGGTAATTCCAGGAAGTCTGTCCTTTTTTGTCCTAGCTTAGGTCTTTGTGTTTTGTACTTAATTAACTGCACTGGAGTCCCCACTTCCTTTATAAATGAGAAGTCATCACATGCTGCTCTTTAACGACTTCATTCTGGTTGGATGTGCCTGAATGTTATTGATGCTTCATCAGTTTGGAAAGAAAGCCTTTTCATTTAAATTGGTTCTTCAGTGTTTTCACCTCTTAAATCATTAATTTAGTGCTGCAATGTTTTGATTAAAGAGCAGTAGTTACTTTCATGGCAGTTTAATTTTCTATACAGAGTTTGAAGGTTTGGATTGTTTCTGATGGGAAGTGAGTGAGAGAGAGCTGTGGGTTTTTACTGTTCTTAGTGCTTCACATCTTCTGATCTTTCTCAGCCAAAGCCCAGAAGATTGAAATGGACAAACTGGAGAAGGCCAAGAAGGAACGCACAAAGGTAGCTCCTCAAAACCAAAAGAGATGGAAGTGCAGGGCTTTTGTTTCTTTGCCTGCTGAACTTAATTTTGTTGCTCTGCCCTTTCCGTGCTAATACTGCTTGTTTTTCCCTGGTTCTCTCCTTTCTCCTTGCATGTCCTTTCCCGAGCTGCACAGATTGCTTGCCCTTCCTTATAGGTCCATTCCTCTGGGTTGTTTATTCCACTGGACTTCCTGCTGTTTTGTCAGTATTTTTAAACCAGAGCTCTAAAAATGGTGTTCAGTAAACCAGATAAAGGCAAGATAATGCATAAAGAACAACTTTTTTCTTAATCTCTGACATTTTGCCTGGTGGCATAGCCTAGTTACAGCTTAATTTCCTCACCATATCTCAGTGTGAGACAATATCTGCTTTCTGTTCTTGATATTGCCTTCTTGTATCTGATTTCCAGAAATATTGGACCTATTTTAACTTTGTGCATTTTGTGACAAGCCCAACTAATCTTATAGACGCCCCAAAAAGAACACAGACAGGCTTTGAAAGATTTTATTCCTGTCCTGTATTGCCTTTAAGCCAGTGGCTGGCATGAGAAAACTGTCTGATGTTAGAGATTGCCATCTAACCTTGCAGAAGGCTCCCTCCATATTCGGTGGAGGGGTTTTTTTGTGCAGTGCATGCTCTGTCTTGCTGCTTGTTTTGGTTTTTTGCACAGTAACCCAGGCATCTCATTACATCCTTGCCCATGTCTGCAGTTTTGAGGCTGCAGTGCTGTTGTGGCTCTTGTTGCCAGGTTTCCTGCCATGATGCAGTCGCAGTAAATTGTGCAAGTAGGGGCTTGTCTTGCATGTTTCTTAAAGGAAGAAGGATAAGAACTTCTGACTGTATAAATACAGTGTTTAATGGCCAGGATGTATCCTGTCTGAGCTGTATCAAATCCCAGTTGACACACACATTTTTATTGCATCAGATTTAGGAGCTGGGTTGTAGAAATCCTTAATTCTCATGGCTTCAGTACACTTTGGCCTGAGGTCTGTATCTGTCTTTCTGCATGATGGGCAGCTCAGAGGCCAATGTCTTACATCACATTAAAGCTGTTTTTAAAAAACATAGGTGCTGTGGGTTAAAGAAAGGCTGTGTATCTCAACACTTCTTTTTTTTTTTTTTTTTAACTTCTCCTCTTTTTCCTATGTGTCTCTCCCTGCCCAGATTGAATTTGTGACTGGCACTAAAAAGGGTACAACAACAAGCGCCACTTCTACAACCACCACAACAGCCAGTACCACTGTGGGAGGTAAAGAACAGTTGGGATTGTACCAATTAAGCTGCAGTAATGCTGGGATTAGTGCTTCCTGGAAACCTGAAGGCTCCTTATTGATTGTGTATATAATGCAAGAGTGTGTTTTTTTTTAGGGGTTGTTGGACTAGCTTTCCTCTAGTCCCTGTATTCCAGGTCTTCCCTTCTGGAATGAAAGACCAAGGCCAGGTGGGATAGTGAAGAGATTTATTAGTGTGTCAAGAAACCTGCTACTGTCTGTGGTTGTAGAGTATTCCTGGGACTGATATATCTCAAGAGGTTTGGAAAGACTGAAAATCACTCTCCTGCCTACAGCCTGCATTTTAAACTGAGGGGAAGGGAGAAAAAACACTGGAGGCTGATGAGTGTGTCCTGTGCCTGTAGCTGAGCAACTGGGATACGTGTGCTCTGTTAAAATTAACTATGCTCTGGGGCAGGGATGATCCTGGCTCCCATTTGGCTGAAGCTCAGGTGTGCAGTTCCATTTGACTCTTGAGGTACAAAGTTGTCTTTCCTCCTCACCACTTACTGCCAATGTATCCTGAAGTTAGTGTGAGGGGAAACTGTCTAGGATATTAAGGGTTGGCCAGTCGGGGTGTTAAGAAGGGACTGGTGACCTTTAACATAATGCTAATCCTCATTTGCTTGATTTAATCAAATTCACAGATGCCCAGAAGAGGAAGAGCAAGTGGGACTCTGCCATCCCCGTAACAACGATAGCTCAGCCCACCATCCTCACCACCACTGCCACACTGCCAGGGGTTGTCACAGTGACAACCAGCGCGAGTGGATCCAAAACCACGGTGATATCAGCTGTGGGCACCATTGTGAAGAAGGCCAAGCAGTGACTGGTGTGCTGGGCCTGGATTTTTGGACTTGTTTATCATTGAAGCCATTGTTCTCAGAAGGGAGGGGTAGCTTTCGCCTTTGGTAAAGGATGGCAAGATTCTTTGGAACAGACCACAGTTCCCCTTTGGAAGACTGGGGGCAGGAGCAGGAGCAGGCATGCCAGCTGTGTGCCCACAGGAATGGACCTCTGCCCGCAATGCCTCTGCCTTTGCTTGCTGTGGGAAGAACCAGCCTGTGTGTTGTGCTGGAGGAAGGTGGTATCTGGAGTCAGCTTGTAAAAGTTTGCTTATTAATTACTGCATTAGGGTCTTACCTACTTGCAAGTTTGGTTTAGGGGGCAAAAAAAAAAGAAAATAAAATAAAAGGGCAAGTAGTACAGGACTATCTGTGTTATCCTTGTGTGTTCCAGGTCGTGCTCCAGGCTTGCAGCCTGTGATAGGTGCTGCCCTCTGTACTCCAGCTCAATTCTGAGGGAGTTAAAGCAGAGACAACTGCTCAGTGTCCACGTTCAGATGTGTAGCAGAGACCTGAAGCAATCTACATCTGTGATTGCTCACCCTTTGTCCCAGCACTGCCACCTGTACCCGTGTGCTCTCTGTGTAGATCTTGGTGACCACGTGTGAAGTTGTTGAACTGTTGAGGGAACTGTGCTGGAACAGTCCTGTTATCGTCTCCCAAGGATGAAGATTTCTATGCAGAACCCTTAAGCTGTAGAGGTTTGATCTGTGAACTCATTTGCAAAGACCTTTGCAAAAAATACTTCCATTGCCACGGAATGAGATTGGACAGCAGATAAGCAGAGGAGAGTGTCTGATCCTAATTGTGATGTTGTCAGTCTTTGTACTAGCTCGTGATGTTCTGTGAATGCACACATGGCAGTTACTGCTTGCTCCACTGTTGTGATAAAGTATTTTCAGTTGAAAATTTTATTGTATAAAAATTTAAAAGTCTATAAAAAAAACCTGGTGTCATTCATGTGTCTGCATTTCTGTTAAGGTAAATTCCTGCCCAGAGCCTGTTTTTTCTAGTGCTCAAGCAGTGATAGGAGAGATGTTTGCCAGATCAGTAGAAGTGTAAATTTCTGACAATTCAGTGGGGTTTTTTTTCAGTTTTTTATGTAACTTAATGTCACTCTTGATCGAGACTTTGCATTTATGGAGACTTAAGGTAGAAATAAGGGGTCAATATTCTGCTTTTAGATAATTTTAAAACATGTTAAACACTTTGTCCTAGCAGTCATTTTACCTTTAAAAAAAGCATCTGCATATCCAGAAATGCTCACGGGAGATAAACCGGGGGACTGATGGAACTATAGCGTGGGGAGTTGGGGAGATGGTGGAGTCACTCTTTTAAAGCAATAAAATATTCAAAGGCATGAAAATAGTAAGATTGAAACATCTCTGTTTAATTATTTTTTTTTACATTGGGCTGCTGACTTGACTCGTGGAAGCTTGGATGAAGAGAAAACTTCCTGAGCTCTTGCTGAGGTGTGCTGAGTGTTGCCATGAGGCACCTGGAGCAGCAGTTTCCAAACTGGCTTATGCAAGTGTCCTGCAGGACTGAGCTGGGTCTGGCAGCTCCTGAGCTCCCAGGACTCGGTGTTTGCTGTCTGCAACTTGAAATATGGGCACAGTTTGTTTTTTGTTTTTTTCTCTCTCTCTTCAAAAGGTTGGAGTGGAGATGCCAACCCTTGTGTAACAAACTTGCAGCCAGTAGCTCGCTGCTCTTGTTTGCCTTGAGTGTTGCTATCAGAAGTAGTAGGTGGATACAAAGGTTGGAAACTGCAGTTCTAAGGAAAAAGCCTCTTTTCCTGAGAAACATGATCTTACAGGTTGGTGGCCTGTGCTGGGCTGTGGTCGGTCAGTGCCCCAGAGAAGGTGGAGGGAGCTTCAGGTGCACAGGAGTGATGTCCTGAGGGAAAAGGATCCCTTCTTGGCCTGTGAACCAGGGCCTGAAGCCCTCAGGAGGCAGGTTTGACCAGTTTGCTTTAGAACTCTATGGTTGTGCTCGTTGCAGGGCTCTGTGGAGCTGCTGAGGGCTGGGGGGGACCCACTGAGGGTGTCAGTGCCTGTGTGTTAAATAGCCCCTAAGAATAGTTTAAAGGTTCTCAGTGCTGCTGCAGTAGTGATTGCTCTTCAGGCTGCTCTTCTGACTCCTAAAAGCTGTGGATACTCATTCTTGCCTCCCCTCTCAAGGGAAGACTAACCATACTTGAGAGTAAAACCAGTCCCATTTTCATCATTCCTTAGTCTGAGAACTACAAGCTCATGGTCCTTGAAAACCACAGGGCTTCTCTCTGCTTATCACCTTCCTAAGCACGGCTGTCTCCCAGCTTGAGTAGGTTTGTCTTAGCTGAGACTCCACACTCAAGTGTCTCTGCCTTGGAGGAGAAAGGAGAGCTGCTGTAATGAAGTCATCCTTGGCAGAGCTGGTTCTGCTCTCACTCGCCCTTCTGAAGTCTTCTCTCCCACCTCCATGCCCCGAGGTGTTGATTTTCTTTCCTATTTGCTTGTTGTGATTTAGAGGTCTGCCCTCCTTTGATGCTGCTGTGGGAAGGGATTTTGGGCGCTCAGGAATCGCTTTTATTTTGTGTCTGGCTGGGTGCTGCCGAACCCAGAGAGCAGGTGGGGAGGGCAGCCCTTGCCAGCCCCACCTCAAACCGTGAAATTGGAGCACCTGAAGCTATGTTTTAGTTGGATTGCTGCTGTACTGTCTGGTTTATGGGAGTTATGTACTGAGACTAACAAAAAAAAAAAAAAAAGAAGTCTTCCTTCCCAAGGCTTTGGGCTGTGCCAGGGATTTGCTGATGACACGGTCGGCTCCAACAGCACGGAGGTGATTGTTTCAGCCAGCACCTGCACGAGCTCCTTTCCAGCTCTGCAGCAGTACAGGGGAGAAGTTGTAGCTCCTGTGGAGCCCCTCAACCAGATGGGCTTTGCAATGTGCTCAGAAAGTTATCAGGGGGTAGGGGCTGCTCACTCCTGTTGAGAGGTGTGAGCCTGGGGAAGCCCAGAGTTGTTACAGACTGGTTATGGTTGGAAGGGTTCACTGGTGGAGTCTTCCTAGAGCACAGTGCACAGGATTGTGTCCTGATAATACTTGAATATCTCCAGACAGGGAGTGAGATGCCTCTCAGCAGGGTTCTCCAGGACTGCCTAATGTTAAATGTTTAAATAACTAAATTGTTGTTGAAGTTCAAGACCCCCTGGAAGGGCAGTGGGATTCCACCAAAGTCTCCTCTTCCTTTTGGAGAACGTTTACACCAGCACATTTCTGCAGAGCAGTTTTCCATCTCCGAGCCTCGCCGTGTGCTGCTGTTCCTCTGACTGTTTATATTCCACTTCCTTCCTTTTGTTCTGAGCGAGAACCATGGACACCAATGACTTCCAGTATTTAGTCCTTGTTTATTTGGAACTTGTCTTTGGCTGGGGCCAGGCTCGTGCTTTCTGTTGCCAGTAAACAGCAAAGCACTGGGATTTCACAGGGAAAGGTTTTGCCTTTTCACGTAGAAGGCGTCTGTCTGTCTGTCTGTCTGTCCCCTGCCACGTCTGTAGGAACCAGCATTAGAAGAGAACAAGGCTGACTTTTGCTGCAGCCATAGAAGGTGAAGCTACTGGTGTTTTTAACCTCTCTCCTCTTTGAGTAGCCTCTTGAAGTGCTTGGAGAGCATGACAGAAGGTTCAGCCTTTGGCAGCTGAGATATCCCTGGAAGGTCCTGCTTTCCCTGGATGGATGGATGTTAGGATTGTCACAGGCTGAAGTTTTATCCTGGATCCTTTGCTAACATTTTCCTCTTGTGTTGTTTCAATGTCCCACTTACCTCTTGCTGCAGGTCTTTCCCTGCATCAGGGATGTTCAGCAAGGAGATTTTCCTTTGGGTACATGTCCATGACAAGGAATATCCATTGGAAGACAGTGGGTGTGTTTAGTTAACACTGTCTCAGGGGAAAGGCTGAGGAAGAGAATGTGACAGGATTTCATCTTGCACTTTTAATTACATGGGGAATTATATTAAGAAGCATTTAGTGCAATAAATTACGTGCACATTAATAAAACATTATTGCACATTCCTTTAATTTATGCCATATAGCAGGATATTGCAACTATGGTGTGCAGCAATGGGATCAAGTATTTATTTTTCTTTTAGCAGTGTGTGTTGTTACAGAATTAAAAAAGGGGATGAATGTGCTCCAGCAGTAGGATTTTGACTGTAACTAATCAACAAAGACCTAGAAAAAGCCCCAAAGCTGTCCCCAAGCACACTGTGGTGGCAGGACAGAAAGAAGAAAGGTTCTATGAGAATTGGCAAGGCATTAAAAAAAAAACAAGAAGAAAATAATTAACCTTGATATCACTGGTAATTATCAGTAATTGGCACTCGGACTGCTAGTCTCAGCAGAGGGAGCAATAATTTAGTGTGAGCTATAAAATTACTTGTTTTCCCTCCTTGGGCAAAAATTTATAGGCCACGTTGCCACAGCAGAAAATCACCGATTTATAAATGTGAGGTTCACCACGTACACGGCTGTGAGCTGTGGTAGAGCCATCTGCAGCAAAATCTGCTCCTCCAGCCTCTGCAGCCCCTGTTCTTAAAAACAGCAAGTTTGTGTGGCAAAAGCCTGATCCAGTAGGCAGGGAGTGCAAGGTATGGAACCAAGGCAAGAACTGGAGCTCACCAGGTGTTCTTTCCTGGTGGAAGTACCTTGGAGAAGTTGCCTGAAAGGCAACCCATAAAACAGCCTTCTTTTATTATTTTTTGGTGGTGGAATTACCTTGATATTGGAAAACCCTGCAAATATCTATTTAAATGCAGCCCAGTTATAGCTCTCTGGGAAAACTCATGTTATGTGGGCTCAGAGATCCCTTAGGGGCTGGGGGAACAAGTCTCAAAGAAAGGTGCAAAATTAGTATCTCGGGCTCTTCTGGCAGCACCCAGGGTGTTTAACTGGGCTCCTCCTCACAGCTGGAGATGTTCAAAAGGGGCTGGTCTTGCCTTGCTGCTCCAGGATGAAGGGGAGGGAGATGGTGTCAGGAAGCCCTGGGGCTGTCAGTGTTTGCAGGTGAGACCAGAGGTCCTTTACAGGAGCCAAGATAAACATCCTCCATCTCAGGTTGAGAAAGGGGGACATCCAGAAACCAAGGACACGAAACACTGGGAGGAGCCAGCTTCCACAAGATTTTCTGGTTGGTTTCAGGATTCTTGTTAGGGAACCATCACTAAAATAACTGGGTTTTTTTAGTAAAACGCTTCTTGCCTGTAGCCTGAACTGTCTTTTTCAGCTCCAGTGCTGGCAGCATCACTTACCTCAGTGGGATAAGAGGAAAATTGCAGCAGTGGGAGGTGGGCGTTGCTGCTGGACAGGACCAGAGGCAGGACCAGGGGAGGCGGGCAGACATCTCTGCAAGCACCAGCACAAGCTCCCCTCCTGTCTTGGGAACTGAAGCCCAGTTTTTCTTTGTCTTCAGTGCTCAACAACGTCTGCTGCAGCTGTGACCCTCTGAGGCAGAGCAGAACCCTGTGCCTTCAGCCCCTCCACGGTAACAACCTGCCCTTCACCAGCAGCCACCACTGCACCTCGAGCGTCAGCACCTCGTGTCCCTGCTCTCAGGTTGTAGCCAATGTCTGTTGTGGTTTTAAAAACCCAGTAACAAACCTCCTTCGTTTTCAGAACTTTTGTTCAAATCTAGGAAATAGCATCTCCAAAGGGGCTGGGCTAATGCTGGGGTTGCCAAGTCCAATGTTGGGAAACTAGGAAATACCAGACCTGAACTGCCCGGGCCATCTTCCGCTGCGCCCCTGCCTGTTTCCCATGTGCTGCAGCTTTTAATGGCACAAGCACATCCTCCTTTTTCCTGGGGCTAAGGCAGTTTACACATATTTACTTGAGCTCCCTGTTCCTTGTAGTGAAAGAAATCCTGCTCCTCACATGTGTTTCGATCAGTGCTGTGTATCAGCAGCCTCCGTGATGCTACATTGACAACGAAGAGCACAAAAGTGCCCTGCCTGTATTTTTAATCTCCAAGGCGGGCAGGAAATATGCTATTTTTTCGTCTGGCTGTTGCTGTTGTTTGTGTTGAGGCTGAGGGGATGCAGTTTTCCTTGTGAGGATTTATCAGGGAGCTGAAATGCAGCCTCTGCCCTCGCATCTGCTCCGTGGGAGGGTGAGCAGGTCTGACCTGTGACAAACCCCCGACTCTGAAGCAAAAGGGTGCTGTGGGGCAGAAAAATAACCTCTCCTGAACTCCAAACCCTCCTCTGCTGTTCCTTGGGGAAGGGGGTTTGGATTCAGCCCAGCAGAAGGACTGGATGCAGTGGTGGGATTGCTGCTTGTTGCAGCCGTGGGTGGTGGTGGATGCATTAGGAGCAGGTATGGATGGGTCTC